TAACTCACTTGCAGCAGAAGATACGTCATTTGGATCTTGTTGGCAGAAAAATTCTTGATTTTCATGAATTTTAGGCATAAATATATCGGCAACTACGTAGGTTTTCTCTGCCAGGGTGGAATTGTGTATTGCAACTCAGATAAAATAAAATGATACAGGCTCCTCCAATAGTTAATGTTATTGTTGTAGAGTTGTAGGATCATTTTTTCAAGTGTTTAGCATATTCTTATAATTAACATTAATAAATACTCATGAAAAGAGTAAGTTACAATGTGTTGTAACGTGTTTATGTTATTGTTGTACGATCATTTTCTTTTTTTTCGCAAGTGTTTAGCATATTTGTATAGTTAAAATTAATAAATACTCATAAAAAGAATAATTTATAATGTGTTTTTAATACCTATATTATATGCATAAAAAGACAACAATATTATTAATTTGATAAGGATGATATTTATTGGATTCACTCTTGTACAATTAAATAATTATTTTATGAATAATTTATTTTTAAAATAAATCATTAAATAAAAAATTTTAATCTCACAAATTATGTTTATACAATTAAAAAATATTTAATACTTTTTTTTTATACATATTGAAATAATATGTTTTTAAAATATGTAAAAATAAAGATTCTTTAGTTGTATTTTTATAATTATTTAATTTTTAAAAAATTTAATACAAATAATTAAAATGAATACATAATTATAATTTAACAACTAAATCATGAAGACTATGTTTGGATGTCATGTTTGGAATAAAAGGAGAGGGAGAGGATTGTTCAGAGAACAAGTGTACCCATCGAAAAGTAATAAAGGGTTCTTAAGTTAAGTTTCTGAATTATCGTCTCACAAGGATTGTTTACCGATTACTAAGAATTTTCTAATTTAATTGTTTGAGCTTCAAATATGCGAGAATAATCAACACAAGAGTTTAGAAAATCAATTATAAAATTAAGAGCAAGAAATACAAAGCACGTCTTGGTTATACTTATCGGAGAAAAACCTAGGGCATACGGGTGTTCTTGTTCAATCCTTTATGTTATTTTTCTATTTAGATCTAAACCCGATTTCCTTGTGATTACTAATCATTCATACAAATACTATTAATATTCAACGATCATGTAATATTAATATTTTTTCTCTAAATTAACATCTCCAATGGTCATGCAAGACATCAATTTAAGAAAGTCTAAGGAACCTATGAACTTGTTAATTCAATAACGATTAGAAGAAGAAGATTGGTTTGGTCTACCTAATCTTTCATCTTATTTTATCTTATAGATCTATTAATTAGCTGAGGTACAATCGCCTGACGATGTAATTAATTGGGTTAAGAGTGAGAAGTAATAAGATAAATTCTAATCACGAAACAGAAATGTAGTTACTCATGTAGAAAGAAAGTGCTAAAACAATCAATAACATATCCATAATGAAGAGATATAGCAAACTAGTATAGGAGATGAATCTTCGGTCTTCAAGTATGGTCACTTGAAGCTCCAAGTCCCGCCAAGAGTGTGCTAATGGTTCGTACAAGAGGGGTGGAAATGATCCGAGATCTCGAAGGGGAGGTTGTGTGTAAATTCTTGCTCAGGCAAAGATCCCTTCACGATGCCTTTTTCTCTTATTTATAGAATTTTGAACTCCTTTAAACTTGGCAAATTTGGGTAATGCAAACAAGCACGGTCGTACATGATGTGCAGTACGGTCGTGCATCTCTTCGAAGCACCCCCGTGCTTCACCGAGTGTGCTTATTGCTGTGAGGTTTTTAAGCCCATTCATTTGGGCCCGAATTGCATCCGAAATCTACTCGTGACCTCTTTATATTAAACTGCATAATAAATAAATAAATTAATGTAAAACCCAATTAAAATAAAGATCAAATATGAATAAATGGGCTGTAAAAGAGGACTTAATTACATATTTATCAAGGATAGAGAGAGAGAGAAAAAGAAGGACTTAGTAGAGTTTAATTTTGTTTAGGAATTATTTAATTAGGAGAAAATGGGTCAAGATGTTTTTCTAAATCTTTTGAAAGATTTGTTCAGTTATTTTATCATAGAAGTTTTTCTCTCTCTTATTCTTTAGTACAATTTTAATTATCATGTTTGAATATCTATTTGCAATTGAATTATAATTCCATGAAATTCTATAATAACTAAATTTGACCCACTTCAATTTCTAACCTATACCATAGGAATTTGAATTCTTAATATCATAATTCACAAATACACTCTCACGTATCGTACTTCTCTTTGGTTCTTCGTCTTCGTGGTTCTTGTATCTCTGCAAATACTTTCTCTCTCTTCCTTTGTTCTCTCTTTTACCTATGCATCTTTCTTTCTCTTCTTCTGTATTTTCTTCTTCTTTTAACTCTACTTTTACGTTGATTATTAATATTACTTTTTTTCCTATGTTCTCTTTTTTTTTTTTCTCTTCTTCCTCGTTTTACATTGATTATTAATAAAAGTAATTTTTCTCTATTTCTCTTTCTCTTGTTCTTCCTATTCTTCTTTAACGTCTTTTCTTTTTCTTTTATACATTTGTTTTATATTCTTTTTTTACGTCTTCTTCTTTCTTTCTCCTTTTTCTATCTCATTTTTTACATTTGTTACATGTTTAATATGTTTATGTTAATATGTCGTATTGTCATTATGCATTTACTACAAACTATATTGTATTGTTATTGTTTATATTAATTGTATAATAAGTTGTTTAATACTTTTCTTGAATTGTTAGATATCAAAATAAATATTACAAATTAATTCAAGAACTATTGAGAATACAAGAGAAACAAAAAAGAGAAAACTAATATTAGATGCAACAAAGTGATAAAGACACATTATAAAGTACACTTTTGAGGTAATTATATCATGGGACAGGTGAAAATTGCTATAATCAATTACCTCTTACTTATCATGTAAGTCTAGAAGAATATGTTGCAATATTTTTACTTATTTTAGCTTATAGTCTCAAAAAGAGAGTTCAAAACACTTATATTTAATTTATATTTTTAATTTTAAGAATTAAATTATATTTGTAAATATTCGTATGCTTTTATCTACTTTATGAGAAAAATAGTTCATAACATAATATTAAATTTTAATGATAAATTAAACATAAAAAATAAATTTACTGTGTCATGATTTTTTAAAAAGAAATATTAAGTTATTATCTATAACAATTTATTTAATAATTATTTTGTATTTTTAATTAACACATTATTTTTTTAAAAGTTATTAAATAAAATTTTAATGTAAAATTGAATTATTTTTTAAAAATTTATATCTTACATGACACTATAAAATTTGATTTCAACATAAAATTCTAATTTTACATTCTAATTCTTTTAGTGCATTAAATGTAGAATTGTAATTGGGATTACAATTCTGAATATCAATTCTGATTTCATGCACTAAAAGAGCTCTTAAATTTTTTTAAAAATGTTAGTTTTTAGAATGAGAATTTTTTTAAAATATTTATAAACAATAAAAATATTAATTTTTAGAGAAAAATATATATTTTTTGAAAAAGATAAAAAAAAATATAAATAAAATATACAAAAGACAATATTATCATTTATATAGTTAAACCTTATCACATTCTCATTTTAGTATTAAACATTCAAACAAAAAATAGGAGACGGTTTAAATTACTTTCTTCTCTTCTCCTCTTCCCTACAAATCCTTCCTTTTCCCCCTCTCTCTCTCAATATTCAAATAAAGCCTAAAATTATTAAAAGAATGTGACGAATTTAATCTTTTTCTAAATTTCTATTTTACCTTTTTAACTTTAGATTTATTCTACTGATCCTGTGTCATACCGTTGGCATTTGCATCGAGTGTCTTCTTTAACCAAGAGATGTCAGCCAGCTAGCCATTATCCTTAATTTGACTATCATCATTAAGTTTCAATTTATCTTTTCATTATTAGTTATATTCTTTTATTATGGCTAATTTAAAATTTTATTTAAATAAAAATAAATTTACTTAAATAAAAATATAAAAAACAATAAAAAAATTACATGAATCTTTAGTTGAGTAAAAAAGAATAGAGAAGTTTAAAGAAGGGACAAAAGAAAATTTGTTTAAATGAATTTTATATAATTTTTTATTATTTTTATTTAAATAAATTTATTTTTATTTAAGTAAAAATGAAATTAATAATTAGAAAAAATCAGAATCCCATTTTAACTTATTTAATTATCTTTATATATGAGGAAACAGAATAAAATAAGCTGGTTCGCATATCAACGATGAGAAAAATAAAAAATAAAAATAATCAGTCCATTATTATTAGAATGCAGATACCAAAATAAGCAGCTCATCTTTGACAGTGACCCAATTTGTTCCTCCTAAGATATAATAATTGGCAAACAATTCCGTCATTTAAACAAATAATAACTAACATTACAGGTAGCATCTATATAATAATAATTATTGTTTTACATATTTCAAAAACAATTAAAATTATCTCTTAAATCATTAAAAATAAACTTTTTGAATCGGTTAATAATCAAGTCTTAAAAATGTACCGCACGGTCTAATTAATGAGATAAGCCGTACGATGCTCAGGCGGGCAAGACCGTTAAGAACAAAAGTACAATGACACAAATTTTAGACAACCCAATTCAAGTAGCAACATATTTATATATACATTCTCTCATTCTCTATATAAAAAATAAATTTCCAGATTCTTCTTCATCTGATAGCATAATAAAATATGAAGCAACCCCAAAACTAGGTCAATTAATTGTAATCATCTCCAAAAACAACCAACAGACCAAGGTACGCGAAACTGTGGTCCCAGAAATTGCCTATTGTTCTAATATACAATGAGAACACTTGGAATTAGTCAGCACAGGAAGTATCCTATTTGGTTTAACACTTCCACGCGTTATTCCATTATATCAGCGCTAGCATATGTAAACATCTTAAACTATCACACATACAAATGAAATGTTCTCACTTTAGTCTTGTTCAACAAGAAAACAATCTCACAATGAGTCATGTGTTTCTCTTCGTTTTCCTCATACTAAGCATTTTTCTTTCCTTAAATGTCAAAGCACAACAGAATTACTCAGGAAATTCAGTACTTAGCCGCAAGAACTATGACAAAATGGGTCCTTCTCCTTCATTCCTTTACACTTGCAATGGCCTTAACAAATCCTGCATGGCTTTTCTCATCTTCAAATCAAAACCTCCTTACAACTCCATACCTACAATTTCCAACCTCACATCATCAAACCCAGAAGAGCTTGCCAGAATCAATGATGCCACTTTTCTCACAGTGTTCCCAAATGGCAAAGAGGCGATTGTTCCTTTGAACTGTTCTTGTTTAACTAGGGACTATTACCAAGCTGAAACCAAATACATATTGGGTCCAAACCCAACGTATTTCACAGTGGCAAATGACACGTTTCAGGGTTTGGCCAGTTGTGATTCTCTCAAGCGTGCCAACCCATATGGGGAATTTGATTTGCTTACTGGCATGAAATTGCACGTACCACTCAGATGCGCTTGTCCAACATGGCATCAGGCCAGAAATGGCACCAAGTATTTGCTGACATACTCGGTAAACTGGGATGATAACATCTCAAATGTTGCTACAAGGTTCAATGTATCAGCAGGTAATCTAGTTGATGCTAATGGTTTTTCCACACAAACACAAACCCTTTATCCATTCACAACTATTTTGATTCCTTTGCCTAGTGAACCAGTGAGTTCAATGACCAAAGTTGTGAATGATCCACCAACCATGTCACCTCTTCCTGTTTGCACCTCAAAAAAGTGTAGCTCAAAGAGAAAACTCCACACTGCAATTGCCACCACAGGGGGTTCCTTGCTGGTTGTGTGTGTTTTTTTATCCATGGTTTTTCTGTTGAGAAAGAGGTTCTTTAAGGGAGGTAAAGAGGGTGAGAAAATAAAGCGGGTCTGTGCAGAAGATATCCGCGGGGAAATAGCAATTATTGAAGACGACTCCTCCAAAGTTTACGGTTTTGAGGAAATAATGGAGGCAACTGAAGATTTTAGTTCAAAGAATAGAATTGAAGGTTGTGTGTTTCGTGGGGTATTTGGCAATGGCAGGGACATATTGGCAATCAAAAAAATGAAAAGAAATGCGTCCAAGGAAGTGATTTTGCTGAAAAGGATCAATCATTTCAATCTGATAAAGCTGCAAGGTTACTGTGAAAATGAAGGGTGCCTCTACCTTGTTTATGAATATATGGAAAATGGCTCCTTGAGAGAATGGCTTAGCAAAAGCAGGTCCACGGAGCATCAGAGTTGGGTAAAGAGGATCCAGATTGCTCTGGATATTGCCAATGGACTTGAGTATCTTCACAACTTCACAGAACCTTGCTACGTACACCGGGACATTAACAGTGGAAACATTCTACTAAACAAAGATCTAAGGGCCAAGATAGCAAATTTTACTCTCGCTGAAGAATCAGAAAGGAAAATAACTTCTAGCTGTGCCACATCGCATGACGTTAAAGTGAAGGGTTTTATGGCTCCAGTGTATCTGGAGGCTGGGATAGTCACTACCAAGATGGATGTTTATGCCTTCGGGGTGGTGCTGTTGGAATTAATCACGGGTAAAGATTCTATTGCCATGCAAGATGGAAGAGAAGTAATGCTTCATGCAGTCATAGTAAATCTCATTGGTACAGAAAATGAAGAAGAGAAGGTGAGTTTGTTCATTGATTCTAGCCTCACTGGACAGTGGGAAAGTATGTGCTCTCCAGCTAGTTAAACTAGCTCTAGCCTGCTTGATCCATGAACCATCTGAAAGACCAAACATGGTAGAGGTAGTCTCTAGCTTATTGAAAATATAGACAAGTTACACGGAGCAGAGAATACCCAGCATCAACAACAGTCTTGGCCTGGAGCGGTGAAATTTTAAGAGTCTTTGCTAGCTGATGTGGAATGTACGCTTCTATTGCTTTTACAATTAAGTTGTATATATTGTACACATTTTATGTACAATTATAGTTCGGTTCTTTGATGCAAAAGTTTCTTGCCCCACTCGCATCTGTTTTTTATCAATCATTATTTTTTCTTTTCTATAATGGCCTCCGGATTTCTGATAATCTGAATAAGCCTTCATGATTCTCTGCACTAAAAAGCTAACTGAAAAACCAAGAAAAAAATAAAATCCTCATAACACCATGGAGCTCCGTTTCATTTTCAAACAGATCTGACCCGCTATATATTGCGAGGAAAGTGTTCCTTGTCATATTTTTTGGGAGATAGCAGAGGTTGGAGGTGATAATACAAAAAAGAACCAATGTGATAAAACGAGATTAAAAAAATCATATGAATGTAATCAATATATCCGCAATGTTATCAATAATTACAGGTAAAAAAAATCACCAATTCGTCAAAGCTAATGCCTAAGTACCTTGGCCTCTAATAATAACAGGCTAGGCTTTTTATCTAGAAAGAATGAGAAACAATCAGTTAAATGGAGGATCTCTGTACTTAAAATGGAAAAGTCCCCGTCATTTTGATATGGTGAAGGGTCCTTTGTAGACCATACTTACGTACGGCTTTTTGACCTGCCCTAAACCCATCTCCATAAACAGGGGAAATATCCGATTCAATCTGGTGCTTGAAGAACTCCCCAAGCTTCTTCTCAAAATCAGGTTTTTTACCTTTTCTAGATGTATGTGACGCAGATGAGGACGAGGCTGATGCAGAAGAAAGTTCAGACTCCAACCACATATGAGCCAAAACCTGACAGATACCTTCTTCAACATCTTGACTTAGAGTCCGATAACCTGCATGCATATACACAGCAGTTCAGCATGAAATTGCAAGACAACCCCAATAAAATAACATTGTTTTGATGCTGGTTGACAAAATAACGCAGAAAGAGTACACTCCAACTACAACAACTGTATAGATAAATCCCAACACTAAAATAGTACCTTTAAGCCTCAGCCATGCATGCATCATCTCATGAGCTAGGATTGATCCAGTAAGCAACCTGTGAAAAAAAGAATGAATTTCATTCTTGTATAAAATGATTCACCAAGAGTGAAATAAACTTTGGGGGGCGGGGGAATTATGATTCATTGATTCAATATCAACAACGCAATACCTGCTTGGATGCAGATATTACTTTCCTAATTCCAAAAGAACACATAGGCTCGTTCATGAAGTAGAAGAGAGTTTCATATTAAAAGCTAAACCTATGGATACCAAGGGAAAAGGCTATGCAAGTTACAATTTGCAGCTTTTAGCTTTTTCATTTTTCCAAGTCATGTTAGCAAAAGTCCCGTGTAAAAGACACTACTTTTGTCTAATGCATGATAATCTCTGGTTTTCTGCAACTACATACGAACTACATTCTCTAATTTCGCAGATGTTTTGCTCAGTTATTTTCATCCTTGGGAAATTTTCTTCCATGTCTTTAAGATTTGTTAATTTTCAAATTATTCATCTGCTCATAAGCATTGAGCTTGTCTCCAAGTTACACAAGTTGTAAAAGCAAAAGCACCAAATCATTACCTTGGAAGACCATATAAAATGAGAATTGCTGTCACATCACAGCGTGAAGCCAGTCTGTAAGGCTGTGATCTCATGTCTAATGCTCCATTTCCTGTCCCAAGTCTAGGCCGCCTCGAGATCTGATCAAATTTAAAGGCAATGTATCATAAATTGTTAATCAATGGTTCTTAAGGAATGCTATTATTTAATCATAAAAAAATTGTGTGCGTGTGTTGTGGTGGTCGTATCAACAAAACAGGAAATCTTACAGTGCTGAGCTCCTCTGAGAGGCAGAGCCCTCTGGTCTCTGGCATGTGATAGTGGCCCTGCCCAAGATGAAAATTCATATATGAAAACGGAAAGCATTGTTTAATCATGAACTAATTATGGATTGAAGCTCAAATTTGAAAGCAAGTTGGCTGGGACAGTATTGTTTATTGCAAGTGTTAGACTTCCAAATAGGTATATACCTTTTTGTTTCACTTTTTCTCTTGAATTTTCTATATCATGCATGTCAAATTGAATTATTTGACACAGTATGTGGTCAACATATCACCAAAGAGAAAATCTAAGTCAGAGATAGCATTCTAAAAGCTATCAATAACAATTGGCATTATTTTCCTTTTAACATTGGTTGGGTAGATAACACCAAAAAACAGTTTCTTCTACATCAGACAGCTGAATGTCTTTACAACCAAATTATCAATTATTACATTTACTGCAAACAGGTGAAAATGCATTTTCTCTTACATTCTTCTCTCCCTCTCTTGCTTCGTTCAGTGCTTGTCTTTCAACCAAAAGTAGTGGAATTTGCTGTTCAAGTTTCATATTTATGCTTTCATAGAATCTTTGTATATCACCATAAAGGGGTTGGCATTCGTTAGTATCCATGATAGCAGAATCCAGACACTCTAAGCAGAGCTTCCGGCCATCCTTAAGAGCAATATATCCTGTCTCTTGTGCCTGCATATGAAGAGAGAAATTTTGCATTCAGTGTTTTCACTTGCCCCATAAAAGTTAGTCCACCTTTACCTAGTCAAATCTATAAATAATATCTGATCAGATGAAAGTACTTCATCCATACTGACCTCCATTCGCTCACAGCTGCAACAGCGTGGAGTATTATCATGTTCATGAGAAGGGCAATATTTTTGGATCCAGAATGGATGTGCCCTATATTCAATAAGACCAGCAGGATTTGTTGGAATCTGTCAAAAGATATATATTACAAAAAATCAACAGAAACAGGCAATGAGATATAAGGCTGAGTCAAATTGAAAATTGACAAGTGTGTCATTATTAAATTCTAACATGAAAACTTATAAACAATTAAACATCATGAATGACTCAGACAATGTCCACAAGTTTGGAGAAAAAAGGTGACTCCAGTAGCACTTTCTAATACTGCCTGATCATTTGTGGTAAAGAACAAAAGCATCACCAAGAAGATGAACCATAAACTTTGATAAATATAACATCTTCCATATTCTTATCAGTGATTAGACACTGACACAGTGATATAATGCATTTATCTAATTCAGCGGTCAAACATTCTTTAATCACCACTTTAATACAGATATTAGTTGACACATAAACATAATCATTGCTCAAAAGGAAAACACTATGCATACTGGGTATAGTAAGCAAGAATATAAAATTTGTTAAGGAGAAATACTTACAAAGTGCTTGCAGACATCACATTTTGGATGGTAGCTTTCCTTATAGCATGATTTATGGTAAGGGTAATTTCCAGATGTGGAGAACTACAAAAATATTTATATATGCATAGGAAAAAAAACAAAACTATAAGTACAAAATAAAAACCATTTATGAAAACAGGAAAACAAGCAATGCGACAGGTGAATGGAAATTCTAGCACCTCATAATCAGAGATTGGTAGGTTGCAAGCACGGCAGCGGAAGCATTCAGGATGCCAGAATGCATTCAAGCAATTTAGATATCGTCCGTAACCAATCTCAGAATAGCAGCCAGCACAAATCCTAAAATGTAAATAACTAGATAACTTGAATTACGTGCATCACATGCATTATTGATATTATAAAAAGGTATGGCAAATTGAAAGAAGGGAATAATTTCTCCATCAATTGAAAACAAACAGGAAAATACTGGATGCATAATTTGTTCCTTTGCAAGTGGAACTTAATTCATAGGGACCCAGGGATATTTGTTTACTAGTTCATCCCATAATGATCTAGAGATGTATATATATTAATATTTGGCTGTAAATTAGTACTATTGCAGCAGTCTTCACTCAACCAATGTATCTTTATGACAGTTTGGTAAAGGGTATTGGAAGAGGAGAAAAAGGATGAAGAATTGAGAATTCTTCATACCCATACATTACCACCTTGTCCAGTTACATCAACCCCTTCCTACCATACATCAAAATAGAGAATTCCAGACAATCAAGCAGCAAGAATTGATAGAGCCAGGAATTATGAAGGTGAGCAAACAACTTTGAATGATACTCTTAACATAACCTAATTCATACGTTGTTATCATCCAAACTCTAACTCATACCTGGACCCCATCGGGAAATACTGAATTGGTTGATATGGTTGATACATATTTTCATTTCCATATCTGGGAGGAGACTCCACATTTAGACTTTCTTCTATAGCTCTGGCAAGTTGTTCATCTTCTTCCAATTGTGATCTGTAGTCTATAAAACAGACAGGAAATTTGTTGATGTAAAACAGTAATATATTTATATTAAGGTAAATACAATTTAGACAAGATCACCGGCGTGTGTTTGTGTGACATATATTGAAAAAAGAATTGATCCAAAAAACTGTACAAATCAGTTGATATTCAGCACCTCTAAAGAACACAATCAGAAATACCTGGGTTAAACAAAGGGCAAGATGGTAATAACTTTATACTTGATCCAAAATCAACTCTAATTTTTAATGCTTCCAAACAAAGTAGTAATTTGTAAAGAATGAAATGAACACAAACAAAATCCAAGCTTTCATCTAAGCTAAAAATATAAAATACCCAACTGCATACATTTCGTGCAAAGAAAGGCACAGCAACCACATTTACCATCACAGTTAAGCAAGAAATTCAATAGAATTACAAAAAGCAATTGGTTTCCTCATCTATCAAATAATTCGATCAAAGATTTCACATAAAAAGTGAAGTCAAACGGAGGCAAATTTAAAAAAATTAACTGCCAGAACAACAGCAACACGAGCATTACAAAATTAGAACAATGCAAATCACATTAGTGTTTAGTCGATAGCAATCAATCCCTTTGACTGTAGAGCATCAAACAAATGCAGAAATGCACTGCCACTTTCAAGAGCATGCAATAATTCATAAAGAGCAACAATACATCACCCACCATTCACATTGTTTGCTTTCTGACTTTCTTCTACAAGAGAAAGTGCAATTGCTCGATCTATCTCCTCATTCTCGTTCTCAGTCCAAACATCCTGCATTCAAAACCCCATCAAAACAAGTGAAACAGCAGTAACAAATGAGTAACTTCCAAAAAACATTAATTAATAAGAGCACAAATGCGTTACCCCCGAAGTTGATGGCAAGTAATAATCCGAATCCTCTTTATAGTAATTCCCTTCTGAAATCTTATGGTCAGAGCCTTTAAAAATTCTGCTTAACCAACCCATTAACTCAAACTGCTATAACACTATATTTCCATAGTAGTTCAAAATTTGGTTCCTGCACAGCAAACATCCACAAAAGCATAAACGCAAGATATTGCAAAAACAAAAAACCACGGAGAGGGGTTTTTTTTCTGAAGTTAAATATACCAATTTGGAATTTGATGCCGCGGAAGCTCGAATTAATTGAAGAGGGAAAAAAAAATATGAAACGGTTGTTTGTGGAAATTGTGTGATCTAATAATTGGCGTGGGAGATAACGAGAACAAGCGTTGAGATGTTTTGTGCGCGTAAAGCGAAGGAGAAGTGTACGGAAAAGAGGAAAAAAATGAAAAAGGAATAAAAAGGAAGAGTGAAGATGATTGAGAAATGCAGAGATTTGAAAGTCAAAATAGAAGAAACGTAAAAACATGGACGGAGTGAATATTGTCAAAAACTCATAAACCCTCCGTGACGAAGGATCATGGAAAATGGAGCACTGTGGGTTGGGAAAGAATAAAAGGGTGTGGTGTGGGGTCCTCCTTGTTCGCACACACACACTTCCCTTCTCCTCAAGGAGACCCCAACGCCTAAAGCACCAAGCCAAAAGTTTCTTTATGAATCAATGCGAGAACGCTCTTTTTTATTTTATTTAATTTTTAATTATTTATTTTGATTTATCAGATTATCGTTGATTGCGTTGCGGGCGGATTCTTACGCGGTTGCGGGGATATATGCGGATGCGGGGATTACTTGCCATGCGGTGGAAATAGGTCCCCAAAAGGAGAGGGGACAAGAATCCAAGGGATTGTCAAACTCATTATTTACTATTTTAAATTAAGCATAGCTAATCAGCAGTATGTATAATTACCAATGTTATATTTTAAAATCATTTATACAATTTTATAATTAGAAATTAAAAAGTATATTCTGCGAAATAACGCGTCTGTTATGTTCTTCTTGATACATTTCAAGTGTGTCTTTCTTTTCTTCTTTTCTTTCTTAATAACTATCATTAATTGACTAACATGAACATCCTAATTAACAGGATTATTTTGTATTTGCTTTACTCTATTGAATTTGTTGCCGTATCTCACATTCTTTTATGTCCTAATATCAAATGTTCAATGAAGCAAAACTTTTTAATGGGTCACCTGCTATTTCTCATAAGTAATTTATATCATCTTAAGAAACCTTGCTTCTTGCTTCTTATTTATCATAAAATGACGTGCATTTTTGTTTTTTCAACTTTTTTCTTACAAAGTTTGTTGTCCCTCAGTTTTTCTAGTAAAACATCTTTAATAACTCAAGGCTTGTCTTTTACATCTCACTTTTGAATAATACTAAAGAGAAAAGTCTATTAAATTTTAAAATATAAAAAATAATTAAAACTAAGACACATTATTTTAGATAGAAGAACAGAAGTGTTTACTAAAATTCAACAGAATTTTGAATTCATCTAAGACTTTTTATTTATACTTCTTAAAAAAATAGTTGTTAAATTCACTTACATAGTTGATAATAAATTTTATAAATGGTCACACAAATTAAATGAACACTTAGTTGATAATATTCTCATTAATTAATTCAAGTATTAAAATAAAGCAAAATTGATCAATAGTGTTGTAATGTTAAACTTAATGCAAAACTCTCATTGAAATTTTAATTTAGAATTTAAGTAAAATTTTATTTTTTTAATTTATCTTTTACTAACTTATTTATTTTTATTATATCTTAAAATATACGTGTAAATAGATATTACTTTTATATTTTTATCAAGTCATTGATAATACTTTAAATACTAATATCTGAAGAAAATATGAATCAAAATAAAATAATTTTTTTTATGAAAATTGTAGAATGATATTTCTTTAATTTGTGAGAAATTACCCAAAAATAATTAATGTAAATATTTTTTATTATAATTTCTAAGAATATTTATTACTTTGTATTAATAAAAATTTGCATTATACATGTATTATTAAATTAAAATATAAATAAATAATTAAAAATATTGCATGACTTTTAAAAATATGATTACTTAATAATAATACTATATGCATTTAATCATGTATCATTAATAATAATTATGAGATGAAATAAAATGTAACATAACATATTAAGTTATTGATAAGTGATATTAAAATTATTTAAAAATAAGAAAAATTAAAATTAGTAAATGTTTTTAATAATTAAAATTAAATTAATTATATTTATAGAAATTAAAAACATATTGCATTCTTGAGTAAACAACATCAAATTTAATATCTAATTTGATATTAATATATAAGAAAATTGGCGTTGCCCTCACATGTAATTGGTGATAGACGGAAGTGCTATTGTGGGTGATGTGGCAGTTATATTGCCTAGACGACGTGGCTTGCCTACAAAACACTCCAACACTTAAATAAATATGAGCGAACACTGTGTTTATCAATTACGTATAATTATCCATGTTACGTCAAAAAAGATTGTGAGTTAATTACAATTTTACACATATTACGCTACCTTATTTGATGTCTCTATTAAATACGTCAAATAAATGTCAACATGTAGGTATAATTATCCATGTTGAATGAGAGAGGAAAATCATATCTTTAAAAAAATAACAAACTTTTAATATAATTTTGTTAATATAACTTTTAATTAAATAAAATTATAAATTATCTCATTAACAAATATTTAAGTCGGATTATATAATATTTTAGTCAACAAACATAAAATAATTTTTGTATTTATAATATTTTTTTATTTTTTATATGAGGCTTAAATTTACATTTCACTTTAATCTAACCTTCCTTCATCTTATCTTTAGTATTTTATTTTTTTATTTAAAAATATTATAATATATATATATATATAATTATATAAATAAAAATAACTCAAATTAAATAATTTGTAAAATTTTAAATATAATTTTTTTAATTTCATTATTAAGAAGTTTAAATATCTAAAAATAATAATTTTTATTAAAAACTTATATCATATTAGAGGACTTATTTTTTTAATAAAGTTTTACTATTGCTTATTACTTGATACAAATATTTTTTAATTTCTGTAACAATATAATAATATATGTCTTCTTTTTTTTTATCATTTCTTGCATTGTTATAAATGGATTATGAGAGATCAAAATAATATTAAAAATATGAGACAAAATTTTATTAAATCTTAAGAAATGTAAATATAATTTTTCTTTTACATTTTGGTGTTGTTGATGTAATTAATATTTATAATATTAAAAAGTTAATTTAAGTTTTGTTGGGAGAGAGATGAAAATGATTTGAAAATAAAGATAAGATAGAAAGCAAGATGATCAACCTCTTTTCTTACTTGGATGTTAAAAAAAAAAATTAAAATAAAAGAATTCAAAAATTACACATGAATAAATTTTAGAAGGCATCTAAAAATTTTCAAAATCTTTCTTTTTATTTTTAGAAACCCTCTAAAAGAGTAATGTCTTTAAATATCTTCTCTCCTTTTTCCTCTAAATTAAACTTGTAAATAAAGCCTCAATTTAAGTAAATTTTTAGAAAAAAAAATTATAAAAAAATAAAATTTTTATCATAAGTTAGAATTAACTTATTTTTATAAATTAAAAAAATAAATATATAAGTATAAATTATTTCTAATTCATAAAAGTAAATTTATTTATTTTTTATATTTTTTTATAAGAACTTTTTTAAAAGTTTACTCAAATTTAGTCAAAGTCTAAATTGTTATACCTTATACACATTTATTTCTTATACATCGCCTTATGCGCCAAAATTACAAACTATGCATAGAATTTTTTGTCATTCAAAAATCTAATTATCAAAAAGGCATTAATCTTGAATCTTATTATGTTTGCTTGGCTATTGACCATTAGTATTTTTGGTGGTTGTAGTGATGTTAACTTAGAAGAATGAGAAAACCTCCCTATTTAAACTTGTCAAATGAATGTATTGGAAGGATAATTGAAAGACTTCCAACAATTTTCATTGATAGTGAAATGTATTCTACAATTTTGTTAGTTAACTTTCATTTGTATTAAATGCATATTGTTGGTTTTCGTATGGATGTAAACTTAAGTTTTTTGTCATTTTTTTTCTAGTTTTAGAGTTTATTGTTGCATTTGTTGCCCTAAGACTTATTTGATGTCACTTTTTTTTTTTTTTTTGTAATAGGTTTTGATTAGAGTCAAATACTCAACCTAGTCAAACCACCTTAGCACCGTCACTCTACCTAAATCCACCATGAATGAAAACATCTGTTAAGCTCACCACTAACCACGATCATAAACCTCATGCTAATCACAAATCATCTAACCACCTAGTATAAACCATCACCTCAATTTTAGTTGCAACCCTAACAAATAACCATTACGCAAGTGCCTTTCCATTGTTGACAACTTTGACACTCCTAAGACATTGTTAGCATTATCAGATGTGTCATGCATATGGTGCAAGTGCTTCATGCACTTTTGTACCTAAATGCTTATGGTGTTAGGTGTACATAACAACAAAACTATCTTAGCTAACAATGTTTGTATATATATAAGAGAAACTTTTTGGCTTAAGTATGTTATCGCATAATCCTATACTCTTATTCTGACCAAATTTTCACTAACTTAAGTGTTGGAGTGTTTCTTGCAAGAACATGTTAGGTATCAAAGTATATAAAGTAAATATTTACAAATAAAATAAAGCAAAACAAAAAAATAGAACTGAAAATTTTATTATGTAAAATAACAGTACAACTTATCTTTAATTATAAGAAAAGAACAATAACACTCTATTTTAATAACAGGAGAAAACAAAGCTGAAAGAACCTTATAGGAAAAACCTCACTTTTCATCTCTAAATTTTTATTCATAAAAATAACACTTAGAAAATGGAATGATATGTAATGAGGAAGCATGCACGTATTTATAGTCAGAACTCCAATTTCAACTTGTGATGGCTCCTAAAATTATGGAGTATTCTTCTCCTCATTCTATTTACACAGATTGCAAATTTCAATGGGAAATCATTCATCTTTTCTTTGATTTTTTTAATTTTTTTCTTCTGAGTTTTCCTTTAGCCATAAAAGTGGCTTTACCTTTTCAATAATCTCCACTTAGAGTCACTTTTTATGAGCTTTTAAAATCTTTGTTAACTTATTATTCTTATGTTGCTTATGTTCTTGATAAGCCATATAAGGATCTATACCATATAAACTTGTCAGTGTTGATAGGCTTAGTTATTGCATCTATTAAGTTCTCTTTAGTATGGATCTTCTACATGTCCATGATTTCTTCTTCTACTACTTCTCAAACAAAGTGGTACTGAACACCTATGTGTTTTATCTTGGAATGAAAGGCTAGATTCCTTACAATGTGCAAGACACTATAATTATCACAATGCACATGACTATTTTGTTGTTTATGCTTGAGTTCTTCCAACAACCTTTAAATTTAAATTATCTTTTTGCATGCTTGTGTAGCTACCATGTATTCAACTTTAGTTGCAACTAGAGCTATAACACTTTGTAATTTAAATAACTAGCTAACTTCTCTTTCTATAAGCGTGAACACAGTTTGTAGTATATTTTCTTTTATCAAGATCATTACAAA